AAAACCCAAGGACAAGAAAAAGGAAAAAATACACAAGCCAAACAAGTGAGGATGCAAAATAAAAGCAGGAAGAAAGCCACGTTCTTGAGATGTTTCGAGGTCACCACCAAAGAACATGAGAATGAGTTTTTTACTCCCAGAAGGTTGTATTTTGAGGAGAGGAAGGAAGGGAAAGGAGAGGAGAAAGAGGCAAGGAAGGAAAATGGACAAAAAAAAAGAAGAAAAAAAAGAAGGGAAGGATAAAAGAGAACTCCTTCAGCCTCTTGCTCACTTCTCCCACCCCATCCCATCCCCCAAAGCTTGGAGAGAAGTCATCTCCATGCCCAGCTTCCCATGGGATGCTCAGAGTAAAGCCAGTGGGATGCTCACGAGCCAAACACTTCCATGAACCGGGAGTTTATTACACGAGAAACCATTTATTTGCCCAGACAAAAAAAATTCCACACAGGAGGAGCAGTGCTTGCTTCCCTTCTGGTCTTTTCCAGAAGAATAAAAGGTTTTCACCAGACAACAACAACAAAAAAAAACCAACACTGGTTTAGCTAGAAATAAGTAGTTAATAAGAAAATTATCTTCACTTAGTCGATCTTAAAGTTATCTTAGACTTGGCTGATAGCAAAGTGCTTTGGTGAGAATGTTCCTGGGGGGATGAGGGAAACCCCAGCAGCATTTGGGAGCAGTGGTTGCAAACTGGAGGCAAACACTGGATCTTAGGTCCTGTGGTGTGTGTGCCCGGTGGGCAGCCCTTCCCTGGGGTGTGCCCTGTCCTTGGGGCAGGCTGGGGGGACAAGAGCCTGCCTGGCCTCTCCCTGTGGGCAGGGAAGAGCCTCTGGAAGGGCTGAGGCTGCAGGAGAGGACCAGCTGGACTCTCCTGTGGGAGTGTAACCATCCTCTGCTACCACCTGAGCGCGCCTAAATGAACACTCCCACAACTCCTTAGATGGAACTGGTAAGGCGATTTTATTGTAGGGTTTGCCCCAGGCAGGGTACAACTGAACAGGTCAGGAGGAAGAACAGAAAAGCCTCGAACATAAATTGGCTCCAGCCTTATGTCCTCGAGATAGGGAAGGTGCCAAAACAAAGGGAGGAGTGAAGGTGGAGTACGCATATTATGACCATATAAGGAAAAAAAAATAAACATGCATAATACTGCAGCAAAATTCAACCAATCAGAACCCGAGAATCACATACACAGGGAAAAAGGTATAACATATGCAAAGCCATACAGTGACAATAAACCAAATACAGAATTTATAATTTTCAATCCCT